CCCCCGCGGCGCCTCGGGCCCCCCCCCCCCCCCCCCCCCCATGTGGCACGGGGCAGCAGGGATCAGCCCCGGCTGCCTGGCACCCCATCCCAGCATCCCTGCATTCACCAGTTGTAGCAGGGCTCATGCACACCAAAGTGCATGTCTGGGTATGTGTGCTGAGGCAAAAAGCCCTGGTTTACATTTGTGCTGGTTCTATTTGAGCCGCTGCAAGCGCACGTGCCTGCATGTGTGGATGTGCCCATATTGTACTGAACTGGCTTGGATCAAACAAGAGCAGATCTGTGTCACTGCCCAGTGATTAAACTGGACTTCTTGGCTAGGTACAGACAGTCTGAAAGCCTAAGGCTGAATCTATTCAGTCATAGTTTGATAGTTGTTAGGTTCGGAAGGGACCTCAATAGATCATTGAGTCTGAACCCCTGCCCTGGGCAAGAAAGAGTGCTGGGGTTGGATGACCCCAGCCAGGTGCTTGTCCAGTCTCCTCTTAAAGACCCCCAAAGTAGGGGACAGCACCCCCACCCTTGGAAGTCCATTCCAGATTCTGGTATCCCTTACCATAAAAAAGTTCTTTCTGCTGTCCAACCTAAATCTGCTGTCTGTCAGTTTGTGCCCATTGTTCCTGGTTATTCCAAGGGATGCCCTGGTAAACAAAGCATCTCCAATTTCTTGCTGCCCCTCCCCACCTCCCCAGCGAATTTGTAAACAGCCACAAGATCCTCTCTCAGCCTTCTCTTGTGGAGGCTGAAGAGATCTAGGTCCCTCAGTCTCTCCTTATAGGGTCTTACCTATAGGCCTCTAACCATAAGAGTGGCCCTCCTCTGGACCCTCTTAAGGTTATCTACATCCCTCTTGAAGTGCAACGCCCAGAACTAGATGCAGTACTCCAGCTGTGGCCTGACTAATGCTGCATAGGTGGGAAGTATCACCGCCCTGGACCTGTTCACAATGCACCTGCTAATGCATGATAGAGTGCGGTTAGCTTTACTGATTACTTTATCACATTGATGGCTCATATTCATCTTGGAGTCAGCTATGACTCCAAGATCCCTTTCTGCCACTGTGCTGCTGAGAAAGTCTTCTCCTCGCCTATAGATGTGTTAGTGATTCCTTCTCCCTAGATACAGTACTTTGCACTTGTCTTTGTTGAACTGCATCCTGTTCTTTTCTGCCCGCTTTTCCAACCTGTCCAGGTCCACCTGGATTTGATCCCTTCCTATTAGTGTTTTTACTTTACTCCATAATTTCGTGTCATCTGCAAATCTGGACAGGGCACTCTCCACGCCCTCATCCAAGTCACTGATGAAGACATTGAATAGCACAGGCCCAAGGACTGAGCCTCAGGGGACCCAACTGCCCACATCTTTCCAGGTCGATACCAATCCATCCACCACCACTCTCTGGGTATGACTCTTAAGCTAATTTGCCACTCACCTGACCATGTAATCATCTAGGTCACAGCCACTCAGTTTGTTTATGAGAGTAGGATGAGGCACTATATCAAAGGCCTTCTTAAAATTCAAGTAGATGACATCTACTTCGCCTCCTGCATTTAAGCATTTTGTGACCTGGTTATAAAAATAAACAAGGTAAGTCAGGCAGGACTACCTGCTGTGAACCCATGCTGGTTGCCCTTCAGCATTATTTTTCTGGCTGGGGTCCCACAAATGTGATCCTTGATAATTTTTTCAAAGGTTTTCCCAAGGATAGAGGTGAGACTAACAGGCCT